CCCCCCCCCCCCCCCCCCCCCCAAATGACAGAACACAAGACAACACTACAACAAAACTAAGATTTGGGTGAATACGCAGGAGGTAGGCTATCCAATCAGTGGGAAAGTACGACGTGGGGAACTCTGTGCCATCACCTTTCAAAGAGGAAATTTACTCGTTAATCCGATCCGTACGCTTTGCACAGCAGTCTGTCAAAATGATTTTTTGAGAAATACTGAAAGTTTCAAAGAGATCTTCGTACTAGAAGTATTCAAAAATGTGAAGCAAAATGACAACAGGGCGTACGGAGAGGGTCAAACAGTGAGAATAGTACCTCCCTGCCACTTGAGAAGAAAAAAGACAACAGGGCGTACGGAGAGGGTCAAACAGTGAGAATAGTACCTCCCTGCCACTTGAGAAGAAAAAAGACAAAGCAGTAAGAGGTTTTTTCATTAGCCATTAATGCTGGCTCCAGTAATAATTAATAATAATAATAATAATAGACAATAGATAGCATTTGTATAGCGCAAATCCCCGCTCAACAGCAAGCTCTATGCGCTTCACAATCTTTACAATAGTAGGATCTATAGACATATTCTAGTCAGCTATACAGGTTTCACAAATTGAGCAATGGATTTTTTAGTTTCATTAGAGTACTGGACTTTTTAAAAATCAATCGCAACTCAAATGGGTTGTAATCAAAACATAATTGTTTTTCATAAAGTCATAAAGCTGTTGACCATCAAATGAAACACTGTGAACAAAGCAGATTTTTCTATGAATAAGATCAAAGAATTGAAAGAGGCCAAAGACCAAATCAGAGAAGTTTGTTAAGTCCATAGATATATATATGAGAGGTAGCGCGGTGAAATCAGGCGCTCGTCGAAATTACAAAATCGGAGAAAGAGGCATTTTTTCATCAGTTTGAACATTTTTGTCGAAATTGTATTTTCTTGTTTAACTTCTTTTATGTCTACATAAAAACATATTTCCATGTGAATTTTACTGAAAAACATAGATTTCAGTTTTCCATTTTCAAAGACTATAGCTATTGGAGTTACAAAACTTTGGCGGCCATTTTCTCCATAATTTCACCACTGACATCAGGCGACCCGACTTTTATAAATCGCAGATATCTCGAGTTGTATTCAAGATAAAAGGATATTTATTTCATTGGAAGCAAGGCAAATAAATCAGTTTTCAGATGATACCAATAACTTCACATGCCCAAAAATTGACGAGCGCTAGATTCTACCGTGTTGTGACACATATTATCTATCTTATGGAATAACGTACCTCATCAAAAGCATACTAAAGCATGCAAAAATAACAAGTTTTTAACAAAGAATTCAAACATCATTAAAGCAAATTGACCGTCAAAACAAAATCAATCAATAAATGGTGCAGAGTCAACAAACCATACTGCAGAAATTCATGAATCAAAGCAATTAAGACAATGAAAATAAAACAGTAAGCCTGAAGGGCACAACGAAAATGACAAAACAAAGGAAGTCAAGGACAAAATACTTGAGCTAACAATGTGCCTTAAGTTAAATCTGCAAATGTAGCCAGGGTTTCAGATCGACACGAATGCTACTCCACGATAACTTGGAATTCGATGGAATCATCGCTCGCCTTGCATCATTAATTTGTTGACGGGAATCCGGAAATCTTAATCAGTGCCGGAGAATGTGTAGGCTTACTACGATCAGAAATCAACAGCAAAGTGATGAAACATCCTGACACAGTTTCCAATGACTCGTAAGGAAAGATATCACTGGTCCAGTGCGCACCGGCATCCAACAACACGTCACATGATTCATGAAGTTAACAAATAAATGTTAACGCCATCTATCCTTTCACATCAGAAGAACAGTGTGAAGAAAATCCTGTTAAAAAACCCTTCACAGCACAGTCTCGAAGGGCGCTGTAACTCGGCCAGCAAAATGTAACATTCTCCTTGTTTTTGTCTCAGTAAGAGTGTTAGTTTTAGTAAGAGTTTTACAGCACTTGCAACACAATAAGGTCATAAAAGTGCCGAAGGTTAGAGGTGTTACAAGAGAGTAACAAAACACAAAAAAGAAGGAGAGGAGATAAAGACGATAGATGTTTGATAGGAAAGAAGAAGCAAACCACACCAGAGCACCCGCCAACATTCTCCATGACTCAACAGATTTGTTCACAACGAAAAGGAATAATAGAAACAGTGAAAAATAACTAGGGGATACAAAAATGATATTTTGTACATGTGTATAACTTTGGTTCACATTCACTCACGGCCACTGCCCTTTATTTGTATATGCTGCATTCCCTGCTCGGAGCCTCTTTTAGTTTTAGTAAGTGTTTTACGGCACTTGCAACACAATAAGGTCATATAAGTGCCGAAGATTAGAGGAGTTACAAGAGAGTAACAAACACAAAAAAGAAGGAGGGGAGATAAGGACGATAGACGTTTGATAGGAAAGAAGGAGCAAACCACACCAGAGCACCCACCAACATTCCCCATGACTCAAGAGATTTTTTCAAAATAAAAAGGAATAATGTGAACATTGAATCATATAGGCTACATATTCTAGTGGAAACAAAATGATATTTTATACATAAAGTTGGTTCACATTCACTCACGGCCACTGCACTTTATTTATAAATGCTGCATTTCCTGCTCAGAGCCTCCACGTGTGGCTTGTCCAAATGTGGCAAAAGTAACAAACCCTTCATCTTTTGTTTCCCTCTTGTTTAAGAATACCTCACCTTTTCATTGCATTAAATCCTGTAGTTTTTCTTTTCAATGGGTTTCTCATTACTCTATTACTTACTTACTTACTTACTCATTACTCTATTACTTACTTACTTACTCATTACTCTATAACTTACTTACTTACTTACTCTATGTATAACTATACCAAAAAAGTTTAACAACACAACAAAATGCTACATTCTAAACTATCCAGTTTCATGTAACATTCTAAATATCCAGTTTCATGTTACATTCTAAAACATCCAGTTTCATGTTACATTCTAAACTATCCAGTTTCATGTTACATTCTAAAACATCCAGTTTCATGTTACTATTTGTTACATTCTAAACTATCCAGTTTCACGTAACATTCTAAAACATCCAGTTTCATGTTACATTCTAAACTATCCAGTTTCACGTTACATTCTAAAACATCCAGTTTCATGTTACATTCTAAACTATCCAGTTTTATGTTACATTCTAAAACATCAAGTTTCATGTTACATTCTAAACTATCCAGTTTCATGTTACATTCTAAAACATCCAGTTTCATGTTACATTCTAAACTATCCAGTTTCATGTTACATTCTAAAACATCCAGTTTCATGTAACATTCTAAACTATCCAGTTTCAGGCAATTTTGTTTACCACGAACTCGGACCCAACACCCAAGAGCAGGCTCAGCATGTTAAACTCCTCCACATGTCACAACTGTTACCTGCAGCTCACAAAATGACAGGCTTTTCTTTTATCCTTTTTAGGGACCCTTCTTTTTTTTTTAAAATGAACATGTTTTTACATCCTCATTGACACAATTTAGACACTTTAGGAGCTGGGCCTCGACTCTGCCTGTCACAGACTGTGACGGATACAACATCACAGTCGCAGGACTGAGTTACTCAATAAACATTCCCCCCAACTCTTTTCCAGCAAGAGTTTTACGGCACTGGCAAAACAATAAGGTCATATAAGTTCCGAAGATCAGAGGTGTTACAAGAGAGTAACAAACACAAAAAAAGAAGACGATAGATGTTTGATAGGAAAGAAGTAGAAGGAGCAAACCACACCAGAACACCCGCCAACCACCGACAGATCCAAGTCTGACAACATGAAGATCATGATCTACAAATTAGTTGACAAAAAAAGATGTGAGTAGTGACATGACAAAGAGAGTTACATGTTCCACTCAGCTGTTTACAAATAGTGGGTCAAATCTTGGTTTTCTCGTAACTATGCGTTTCTCAATAAAACTTCTCCCCACTCAGTAATTGAGCTCGGGTTTCCTGCATGCAATGGCCAAGCATCTAACCACTCCACCACAGACAGCGGTGCCACAAGGTGAGAAAAGTGTATACTGCATACGGTGCCGAAAAAGTTTTAAAAATTATCTTATAGTCTATGAGTCCAACTTTTTCAGCCCAATGAGCGACTCCACAAAGCATACTACACAGAACTGTTCACCACCTTGCCATCACAAGGCTCAAAGAGGAAAAACCCTTGCCATCAAAGGCAAAAGCATTTGGGGGAAAATCCAAAGAAACTGGGAGGTAAACATAGTCGATCGTCGAGATGAGGTGGCAAAGTATTAAAAGATGATTGTAAAACGAGAAGATGAAGAAACGATTTTTTAAAAACCAAAATACATGTAATTTAAGGATAAAAATCAAACTCAATTTCTCCCGTTCCTTCGAGCATAGTCAAAAGGTACAAAAAGTCGTTCTATTGTATTCACAAATTAATAAACTCGTTCTATTGTATTCACAAATTAATAAACTCGTTCTATTGTATTCACAAATTAATAAACTCGTTCTATTGTATTCACAAATTAATACTCGTTCTATTGTATTCACAAATTAATAAACTCGTTCTATTGTATTCACAAATTAATAAACTCGTTCTATTGTATTCACAAATTAATAAACTCGTTCTATTGTATTCACAAATTAATAAACTCGTTATATTGTATTCACAAATTAATAAACTCGTTATATTGTATTCACAAATTAATAAACTCGTTATATTGTATTCACAAATTAATGAACAAGATTTCATTTTGAATGGTCCACTTTAATGAGAAAGAACCATATCAATTACA